GGATCACTGAACGATTTCCAGCTTAAATTTACACCTCAGGTCGACTGGAAATGATATCGCTTGACAACGTCACGTTGCTTGGTTACTAATTGATCAAACCACCGGAATACTTTCCACGACTTCGCCCTGCAATGTCGAATACATCGTTAGGATCCCTGAGAGTTCATCATCCTTCTCGTTTATAATTTATATCAATTTCTTATAATACTTGCTATAAGTTTCTTCTTCCGGTGATAGCTGAATAAATAAAAGTCACAATCAGTTGGCCTTATGCGATTTTATTGTGTATTCGCGTCGCTTAAACGCGCTCTTTGCTCGTTTTCTTTCAGCCGTGTTCGCAGCTTCGAAATTATTCCTTTCAGAAACAAATTATTTTCGCTTCAGACGAAAAGACTTGTACAACAGTTGCGTTTGCATCCTGCACACTGGGAGACAATATATCTAAGAAATATTTATTCCTATATTATAATATAATTATATTATACTATATTATAATATAACTATAATAACATATTTATTTTTACTGATATCAAATATTTTTCAAGTAAGAAGGTACATATTTTCTTAACTTAAAACCTTAAAAAATCTTTAGCTTTTTATAAGTAATTATTTATTCGATTTAGATAAAAAAAATTTAGATTTACGTAAATGTAGTATTAGTATCCACAAAATAAATATTTACTATTTTTTACATATTTTTCTCTCAGTGTACGCTTGTTGTATCTTACATAAGTTCGGGACACAGTTGTATTGTATATAGAGAAAATATTGTAGCAAAAATTACAACAAAATTTTTGTAAATATTTATGATCAAAATTATTATATACATTTGTTTGAGAAATGTTGTTATGTTTGACTTTTTACTATATAATTATTTTAATGTTTTTTTATATTATATATCAAGTAGATCGTCAAATTTATTATTTGTATAGTAATTTATACTATAATTTTAGTATAGCTAAGCTTTGCAGAAAATGTAAGAAGAAATATAATTTTAATGTAATTCTTAAGATCTTTGCAGGGGTAGAAAAATTTTAACCGTAATTGTAAGGTCGTAAGAGAAAACCGACCAATCAGAGTTGATTATTCTCCTTGCATTCGAGAAATAATCGACAGTGATTGGTCGGTTTTCTTACGACTTTACGGTTACGGTTAAAATTTTTCTACCTGCAAAGGCTCTTACTATAATAAAATTGCCTTGGTGCGCACGGCGATCGAAAGTATTCCCATTCTTCGACGTTTCGAGCAACTCCGTCAGCGTCGTCGTCGTCGTCGTCGTCGTCGTCTTCGCCGCTGGACTGCTCCCCGAGCCAGTCGGTTCTCAGTGGCTTGTCGACGCTCGAATCGAGACTTCAGCATCGATCGCGATTGAACGCAGTTCGTGGTTGATTCTCACGTGCATTACGTTAAGTACGAACGAGTATCCAAATGTCGACTCGCGATTTCGTTGCATTTTACATCAACGAGGAGTGACTATACGGCGACTTCGTTTCTCTTTTCAGATCAACGACTCACCTGGATCACTCAAGAGATCGTCTCTTATTGATTGAATGCATTGATATATTGTAAAAAAATTCGCGATTCGCTCGGCGTTGATATCGCACTCTGATAATCGCGCGGCGGTGTGTGCTCGATAGTCACATCTCACTTCGTTATGCGTGAAGCTGTGAAATTTTTGACCGCTTAATCGACCAACCAACCGACCTAACCACCGATCCTCGTCGCTGACGCGATTAAATCCGCAATTTAATTAGACTGGAACTCGCGAGCACGATACCAGACGAAACAGATTATTAGGAGTATTGTGGCAAACGAGAAAAGTCGCGACAAGATGAAGATAGACGAGTGCGGAAACGATACTGTCAAACGTGAGTTGGTTTTATCACAGTCGTCACATTGTACACGCCGTAAATATGTGATGTAAGCTCGCGGCACACACACATACATACACACACACACACATTGCGGAGATGCAGGTGGCAACATGCCACGCTTTTTAGTCGCGAGTAAATAAACAATGATTTAACCGAACGCGCGAATATGTAACGGAATAGGCAACACCGTTTTTGCACGAGCTTTTGCCGCTCCTCGGCTTAGGCTTGTTGCCCAATTAATTTGTCTTCGTTCGTATTTCAATCGGCTTCCCCGAGCTATCGCTCGTTATAGGCTGCTTATGGCATTATCATCTGTCGCGGTTGCGTCAGTGGAGTGTTATCTGCGAGCGTATCGTTCAAGTTTTACGACCACGAGTGTATTTTAATTTATTACCGAGTGTGGCGCCCACAAGTTCGAGTATGTTGCCCTTCTTTTCTGCAATTTCGCATCACGTGCGGTCGAGACTCTTACGTAAGATTATTTTGCGCTTCGCGATTACTCGAGAGAAAAAAGAAGTAGCCTTGCAGTCACAGCGAAGATATGAAAAGTTAGAGCTAAAATGAACAAGTGACCGAGAAACATATATACGTTTATCGAATCCAGATAAACGACAGAGATAGAATTTCTATCTGAACTATTTGTAAAATTTAGAATCACAAGAAAGTAATAGTCTTTCTCTCTGTGGAACCTATTCAGATCAGATCAATAATTAGTACACGGAGAGAATATTGTAGTACATTTTTGTTAAGTATATTATTACTTTTATGGATTATCGCATCCTGGTCCAGCGAACGCAATTTCTGGTATTCACAGACGTATTCCTAAAATTTCTGATCCCAACGAATGGTGGCGGCCTCGTTTTTCTCGTATTTTTTACCTGGCAAATAGAACGTGCTAATCGCGTTTGCTCTCCCGTTGTTTATTGTTTTCGATCGCCCACGATCGTCGGCGATTACATGTCGGGTTCAGGGCAATGTGCCATCCCGGCTTCGCAGCGTCGTCCAAGACTCTCTTGGCACCGAGACAAATTCGGAGTGATCCGCCGCCGTTGATGAAGCGATTCAAACTCTAATCGAGATCGCGAAACTTGCTCACGTTTCACTCAACTCTCTCGCTCGTAATTCCAGCGTTCGTCTCGTCGGCTCTTTCGCACGTGGCGCAATTGAAGAAACGAACTTTGAGTCGCGTCGAGTCGGGTGAGGAAAAATTACCAGAGAACCTTACAGAACTCACAAATGTCGACGAAAAATCCAAAGACCTTTTGACGATAATTTTCTCCATTCGTTCGCTTGTTGAATGAAAAAATGGAAATGTACTCACGATGAATGTAGACAAGAAAAAAGAAAAACTACTCTGTTATTGTGGCCGGATTCTCTATTATCTAGAGATCAGACGTGGAACTCGCTTGTAGGAACAGGAAGATTTCTGTAGAGGATATCTACTCAGTTAATCGTTCTCAGTTATCTCATCGGCATTTTAATGGCATTTTAATCGGCATAATGCATCTTAACGTCCAGACGAATCTTTTCGACCACAGTGGCAGAAATAGTATTTCTCGTCAGCCAACTTTTCGTCTGGTTCTCATCCAGAGTTACTCAAACTGAAGTTTCTTTTCCGTGTATAATTAAAAAAATATAGTTAAAAGTATAGTTAAAAAATAGCTGTCTAATCTCTTCGCAAATCCTTGGAACTTAAATGCATAGATGTTAGTAAAGTGACGGTCGGTGTACGTACAAACTCGTCGTTCGTAAAAGTTCATGGGTAGATAAGAAAATATTAAATAAAGGGAAATAAAAGCGATGCGAAATCGTGATTTTGATGTAGAACACGTATAAGTAGCCGAGATATGCGATGATATTAATTCGGGAACCTTGAACATGCGTGAAATTTATCGAGACCAACTTCCCGAACGTTACCGTTCTTAAAAACATATGTTTCTTTGTTAAACATATGTTTCTTTGTTATAATTTTTTTCAAAATTTTTATGAAATCGTAAAAACGATTTGATAGATTCATATTCCTTCATATTTTCATCGATTTAAAAAAAAAAAAGCATTCGAATTTTGATAATTTTTATGGAAGTTTATGAGCAAATATAAATGCACTGGACAAAAATTTGCTCACGCTTAGGTTGTATTAATATTAGTTACAATTATCGCTACCCCCGCACAATCTTTATATGGATGGTGTGCAATTTATCGCTTCACTTTTTACGACTTGCGAATTATTCGCTATATCGTATTAATTTTTACTACAACGACCTTGCCGCTTCAATCACGACAGGGAGCGGTTACGTGTTTCCTGGAGTGTGCCTCTTAAAAAAACGATTAGCACGAGCGCTTTACACGTGAGCGTAATAATTTACGACGTATCGGGCGGGGAGTAATCGGAGAGGTTGCCCGGTTTCTTTTTTGTGACTTTCGGAACATATCCGTCTCCAATGAAAAAATTCTCTTATTGACCAAGAAATTTTTCTATTGGACAAAAAACTTCGTTCCAAAAAAATCTTTCTGATTATACAAACGTAATAATCGCGAAAGTAGTCGAGAAACATACTCTCAGGAGAAAGAAAACACGCCGATTACCGATATCTTTCAACGCGATGATGTAGCAAATTACAAGTACGAGCTTTGTCCTAGTCCTTTTCGTGCTTGGCGTCGTATATATTCATTTCATTTCCCCTCTCCGGCTCGAGATGTGTCGGATGTTGCAGATAAAAATATTCGAGGAACATACGCGTACGTGCGTCGAAGATAATCGAGGTCACGCGGTTTGGAACAGGTTATAAAAGGGGTCGATAAGGATATAATTACTCGAGGGTAGCTTTCGAAAAAATTTTAACGAGGTCTGGAACATTGGATTTTGCAATCGACCTTATACATTATCGCAAACCTTTCCGCGCCGCTGATTCGTTATAATTATTTTCTTGCTTCCTTTTTCTATCTTTCATATTAATACGAGTTTATGTTCTTGTAACTTTTGTAATTTTATAATTGATAAAAATTGGTGCGGCTTTGTATGACCACTTTACCGACGTTCAAATCATTGGAGAGAATCGAAAGATATGTAACATTTCGTACGAAATAAGCCGAATATAATTTCAATGTATTTTTTTCTTTGTGCAGAAAATGGGGTCAGCAGTAGTGTTCAGCCTACGATTGTCAAAGCTCCCAGAGATAGGAGAAAATTCAACCAGAAGGTATGTGCAATCTATCGTCGTTTTATCGGTAAAGAGAACTAAACTTTTATAGCGTGTATGCACAATTGCACGACGAACGTGAAAGATAGTTTTTTATCTCTATGGCACTTTAAAAGCTAGATAATCGTTTATAGCATATAATAAGCGATTTTACATGCCAAGAAATAGTATCATAAGAAATATTGTAAAATATTCCTATATTAGATATATATATATATATATATATATATATATATATATATATATATATATATATATATAGATATATATTATATAAGAGTCGTAAATGCAACTTACTTCTGTTGACTGCAGTTAATAACAACGATAATATGTTGCATTGTTGCAGGCAAGTGACTTTACAGACATCGGAGACTGGCCAACTTTGGGAACACAAGGAGAGGTGTGTTATTGAATTTTTTTTGTATATTGATTATAATACATTATAAAACATGCAAAATCTAGAGCTTACAAATGCTTGTAAATCTGTGAGTGTTGAATTTTTGCTAGAGAAATTTCAAGTGTATGATCCTGAGGTGAGAATAATTTAGTCTGAAAATCGCCTACATACCATACACCACATACCTTCTGCTCTTATCTTGATGTTATCTTGATTCACAACACATTGTACTGCATCTTTGTCCAACTTGAATATTCACAAGTGATATTTTGTTTTAGAAAAAGGTGACCACATCACCACCTAAACAAAATGGTACTGTCGAATCGAACAATTCCAAAGAGACTAGTACCAGCGATGTTGAGAACAGAGGGAAGGAGAATAAAGAGCAGAACCACTGCCAAGACGATAGCGACGAGAACGAAAAGAAAAGAAAAGGTAAGGAAGTCGCACTTGAATCGTACTATCGACAAGACTACGACAAAATGTAAATTAGATAAGATCTTTATTGATCCCCTATGGGATTGCAATTTACTACATTTCTTAACATCCTCGCCTTTGCTACCCGCCACATATATACACATCTCTCGTTTTCCTTACTTACATCATATTCCTGTTAACATCTTATATCTACTTATAACCATCTTAATCCTATCTTATTTACTAAACGCCTTAATCTACGCCTTCATCGCAACTCCGCTCGCTCTGCACCTTCCGCTTCCTGACAAAATGTAAAGTAAATGTAATGATTTAATGAAAGCTTCGTTTTCAAATACTTGCTTTACATTTGTAGCGTAAACGTAACCTTTAATTGTCGCGTTCTTTTTAAAGTGAACAAACAGAAGTGGCTTCCGCTGGATATTAACCCACCGAAAAGCCGTGGTAAACGAGAACGATCGCCAAAGTATCAAAGTCAGAGGGAAAGAAATAACGAAGGTAAAATCATTGCTCCTTCCCTTCGTAAAACGATAAATCGCTTTAACTGACGATAACTAATGTACCTTTTATATATAATTACATTATATTAATATTATTAAATATTATTATATTATATCAAATATTTACGTTATTAAGTACAGTTATATAATACGTTATTATAATTACAATTTTCATACATATAACAAACAGATGGTGAGCAAACGTGGCGCGAGAGGGATTATGACCGATCGATGGGGTATAATAATTATCGAGGTGGTCGCGGTGGAAGAAGTTACAGAGGCAGAGGACGCGGACGTGGTGCTAGTCGAAATGGTAATTTCAGGTACCGACAGGATCACGAATATCAAAATTATGCTGGCACGGATTATGTACAGGTACGTCTTACACGATACGGAAGTTATTATCGCGAATTACGACCACCTCGTTTATAAATGATGTTAATATATATGGGAATCTCTCTGACAAATTTGATGGAGATTAAATGAAAGTAGAACTGATCGTGAAACTTGTATATCTCTTACATAGAACTTATCCACGACAGACACGTCATGACTTTTTATTCCTTTTCCAGATGCTTAAATACGAACAGCCGGATCCTACATATATGATGGGACATTGTTTGGGAACGTTCTATTATAATAATTACATGAACTTAGATACTAACACGTTAAAAGAATATATACGGAAACAAATGTGAGTTTTCTCTATCTCTGTTCTTGTATTTAATTCAATACGTGACATTGGAATAATCGTTTCATTTTTCTCTACCTTCTTTTCACAGAGAGTATTACTTCAGCGAAGAAAATCTGATGAGAGACTTCTATCTTCGTCGCAAAATGGACATTGAAGGATTTGTACCCATCACTTTTATCGCATCTTTTCAGCGTGTACGAAATTTAACAATGGATGTACGTTTAGTGACAGAGGCAATTATGGAATCTGACAAACTAGAATTGGTGGATGGCTACAAGGTATGATAAAATATACTTTTTTTGAGAGAAATTAATTCAATGACACATATATAATAACACACATTATATGTGTGATGTTATAATCCGAATAATATATAAATTCTTCGTTTTTAGGTCAGAACAAGGTTTGATCCGTCAAAATGGCCTATTCTAGATACAGCGGACAAACAGTTCTTTCCAGATTCTTCAGAATTATACATACCACCGCAAAATGAAATAATACCCAATATACTTGAAAGCGATTTTTATCCTGCTTCAAGGCCTTTATCCAGCATACCTGAACCTCTTGCGGTTCCATTTGTTCTTCAAACTGATCCTGCCATTTCGATACGAGCAACGTGTGATGAATCGGAAAGTATTTCTTTGTTGATAGGCGAGACTTTAAATCCTGATGTGCCAGAATTTATACCGACGGAATTGACAGGAAATAGTAATGATCTACCTACCGCTATAAACAAAAATAATGAAACGAAGAAGGAAGAACAACCTATAAAAACAAAAGAGATCATTGCCGAATCAACAAATAGCATTGTAACTCCTATTTCTAATCATAATCCTTTTATGAAGAAAGACAATAAATTACCGATTGTGGCACATTCTTCCACTTTAAATTGTTCGCAAGAGGACCAAGAAAATGGAAAATCAAATTCATCGAACGACGATACTTGGCAAGAGGTAATCAATTATTTCGTACATAAGTTTCACATTTCTTAAATTACAATACATTATATAGTAGATTAGTAAATTAAATATTAGAAATTTTTAACTGTAGCGTATAAATATAACAAGAAATTCATAAAAATAAATTATTTGCAGGTGAAAAGAAGAGTTAAGCAGCCGCACAAAGAGAAATCTGAAGAAAAAGAGAAACCTGATACCAACAAACGCGAGGAACGAGAGGAATTGGATTTCCAATTTGACGAGGAACTCCGAATTGGTCGAAATAATGCCTTTTCAGAATGGTCAGTTTAGACTATAAACATCTGCCTAAAAGTTTCATGAATGACATTAGATAAATGATATTTACTAACTTAAATAGCGTATTAAATAAATGATATTGACTAGCGAAAATTAATCTAGCGCACTCGATGAGACGTATCAATTGTACTTTGTTAATAATGAGAATTACTTGAAATAAATTTATCTTTATATATTTTTTGTTGTAAACGATGTCAAACTAATTATTCTATTTTACTCTGTACAAGTTGTTTTATTTAAGAGCTATGTTAATGTTGTGTTAAGATAAATTATATCTGTCAACTATTATCTGGAGGATGCTGCATTCATATAATATTGAAAGCAGCACCAAAACAAAATCAGTATACGTTTGCCAGATGTATTATACTTTTTTCGGTTACGTTAAACAGGTCTGATGATGAAGATTGCGAACTGTCGGATAGGGATGTTAATAAAATCCTTATCGTCACGCAAACATCTAGACCTCCAAAGCACGAAGGTTATGACAGAACTGGAGACTGGGTTACAAGAGTAAAAATGAGTCGGGATTTGGAACGGGCCATTAATGATGGATTATTTTGTTACGAAGAAGATTTATGGACTCAGGATCGCCAAAGGGTAAGCTTGCAATTTCCCATCTCGTGTTTAGAAAGAACTCAAAGGACAAGTGAATCTTATATAAATCAAACTTGTGTTAAAATAGTATGGCTCGTCGTCGTCCATTGGAAGTTACAAAACCATCAATGTAATTAGCCAAGAGGACTTCGAAAAGATGGCACCGAAAGCTCCTAGAAAAGCTAATCCGGAATTACCGCCGCCACCTCCCTCTATTGCAGACGATTTGGAACTTGTGCAATCGTTATCACAGGTATTATAAAGCTTTATACAATTAAAGAGTAAGTCTTGCAATAAGGAATGTCGTTAAACTGAAATATTCGTCCTACAGCTACAGCTTCCGTCTACGAGTCAAGAGTGTCAAGAAAGGAAAGATCGTAGAACAGAAAAGAATCGTTGGAATGAAAAGCCAAAGGTCGAAAGAGAAGAACGAAGAGGTGCGCCTCGTTTCTTTGCCGTTGTAAAGGATGGACCATCCGTTGATCCGAGAACGCCCAGAAAAAGGAAAACTCGTCACAGCAATAACCCTCCAGTGGAACATCATGTCGGTTGGATCATGGATGTTAGAGAGCATCGTCCTCGAACATACTCTACGGGGTATGTAATGTGATCGCATTTTTGTTTTAATGCTATATTAATTAATTTTCGTTTATTTTCGTTTTATTTAATCTAATATCGTTATTTTATATATTATATTTATTTATTGTTCCTTGTATGTATGTGTGTATGTCTCTCTGAGACGTGGTAAATGATGATTCATTCTTACTTGTCTTCTTTTCCCGACTGAAGAGATTACATTGTAGAAAAACTGTTGTCTGAGTGAAAATAGATAATTAAAATACAAAAGTACAAGTTCACTCTGCACACTCTAAATTTGTGTTCTGCTTCTGTTTATTATTCTAGGAGTAGCGCAGGCACCAGTCCTAATGAAGGTTACTTGTCGAGTAGCTATGGTAGCGTACCACAGGCTCTACCTACGTTCCAACATCCAAGTCACGCCTTATTAAAGGAAAATGGTTTCACTCAGCAGGTGTATCACAAGTACCATTCGCGCTGTTTGAAAGGTATTACTGACAATATATCACACACACAGATATTCTGTTAAATTATCAGTTTGACCGAGATGATGAACCTTTCTTTTTGTCTTCTTTTCCCGACTGAGAGAAATACCTATGCAGAAATATTTTTATCTGAATATTCTTAAAAAGAAGATTGTTTTAATATTATTAAATCAAGATTTTTACTTATATGCTATGTTCATATTTTCTTAGAGCGCAAGCGGTTAGGCATTGGATTATCGCAAGAGATGAATACTCTTTTCCGTTTCTGGTCGTTCTTCCTGCGTGAAAATTTCAATCGTACTATGTACGAAGAATTTAGGACTATTGCCAAAGAAGATGCTTCCCAAGGATACCGATATGGACTGGAATGTTTATTTAGATTTTATAGTTATGGCTTAGAGAAGAAATTCAAACATCCACTGTACAAAGACTTCCAAATGGAGACAATATACGATTACGAAAGTGGTGAGTCGAGATTTAATTTCTGTTCACTTTTGGAAATAGCACAAAATAGGTTGTTTAACTATAATTCCGTGATAGTTGAACGGTATATTTGTGCAAGAGCAAACGTGATGTTTCGCTAACGCCACGAGGACATTTGTCCTTTGAGTGGAGTTTGAAAGTAGCATCACGACAAACAATTGCAGTAAGCAATTTGTCAAACCTCATATGTAGATTTATATTCTAATATAAGCCATAACGATGATATGATACATATTAACAAGTTAAATCGTTTGAATCAACAGGACAACTGTATGGACTGGAAAAATTCTGGGCATTTTTGAAGTATTATAAGAATTCCGATCGGCTTCATGTGGATCCTAAACTGAAAGAATACCTATCGAAATTCAAGAGCATCGAAGATTTCAGGGTAGTGGAGGTAAGCATGTTTACGGATAAACACATTTTTATACGTTACACATATATTGATTAATTCATTATCCTTCGCATTCATCGGATAATGAGTTTAACTGTAATTTCTATCCGTTTTTGGAATCAGCACAAAACAGATTGTTTAACTATAACTCCGTAATAGTTAAACGGTAAATTTGTGCTAGAGTAAACGTGATGTTTCGCTAACGCCACGAGGACACTCGTCCCTTGAGTGGAGTTTGAAAGTAGCATCACGACAAACATTTATATGAAGCAACTTGATCTCTGTTAAGACTCACTCAAACGTTTTATCCATTTTTAATTGAATTTAATCAATGTGTTTTTAGTTTATGTTTCTAACTCATACTTATCTTGTTTCTTACAGCCACAAATACTTGAGATGCTTTACGTTGCGAAAAAGCGCAATAGAAGCGTATCCGAAAGCGCCAGCGGCGAAGATGTGCGAACAAGCAGAGAACGTCGGCTCTCGGGTGGTTCCAGCACCGTCACACTGCCAACCACAAATTCTGAAAGTAGTAACGCGCAAAAGTCACGTTTGGAGCCCGTAAATTCACAATTTCGTAACAGAGCTAGTTCCTTCGGTTCCGGCAGGCTAACGAGCTATCCTCGACGATGGAACGACCCTACGACGTCGTCGTCGATCAATCAACGAGATTTCAACAAACATCAGCCTCGTAGTAGGCACAATTCCGATTCCTGCACGAAATCTCATGAAGTAGTGAACAAATCGCAAGTCACTGCCAGAGATCGTACTCAACCAAGCTCCAAGCCTGAGACGAGCAAGTTCGTCACCATAAAGTTGGAGAGCTCTTCGTCCTCTTCCCAGAAATGAAAAACTCAGTTGTGACGCGGTGATAAAACGCGCATAAACTTTCATTCTTTAAGTGATTCTACGAAGGTGAAGGAAAGTGCATCATTCCGCCTTCGGAAATGGAACGGTGTTTTACGTAACGTATGCCGTGAGAACGTTGAGTGATAATGATCGAAAAAATATAGTGCATAACGATGCACCGACAAAGGTCTGAAAGAAGAAAACATGGGAATCGCCGATTCTCGCGATCACGAAGATTGTCGTCGCGGAGTAGAAACATCCGCGAAATGTGAATGCGCAACACTAAGCTTGTAACTGTAATACATTATTCGGTAAAATAGTATCTAATTTTTATTAGAGTCTCTAAGCAAGGCATGGTCATCATCTCATGTGAGATAATTTTACTTGCTTTTCTTCATTGCTTATGATGTTTACATTGCACTACAAGATGACAAATAATTAACAAAGAGGAAGGAGAGGGACGATAAGAGCCGGACATGTATGTATAAGGAAATTTAATGATGTAAATTTATTCAGGTCTTTTTGTCCGTAAGTTTTATTTTGTGTGTTTTAATCTTTATATACACAGGTTTTTCGTGACAAAGAGAATGCACTTTATATTTTTACATCAAGAGAGTAAATGCCAAATGTGAAAATGTAAAATTATCTTAATTTGAAAGAGACGACATACAGATCAAGCATTTGTATTCGTCAAACGTATTAGATCCGTTCGATCTGCACGTTCCTTTGTTATTTTACTCTCTCCAATATCCTAATTTATTCCATCTTAAATGCAAAAAGTGCCACAGGATACGTTTGAAATAATCCTATTATTGAGCTTAAATATCGTATGAAATTGATAGACTAATAGTGATGATTTACAGCTGCACAACTACTTGTCTAATTTATACTGTCTTTTGATTATGGAGATCAGAACTGGAACTCGAATTTTTTTCTGATTATTGGGCGCTTTTATTGACAGAGGCACCCCTTTTTGTGTTTTTTCTTCTCTTTAGTGAAGATCCTTTTTATAGTAATTTTTTACGCGTTAAATGTGCGCTTCTATTATTCAATGTATGTATAATTTAATACTTTTAATAGTAATTATTTAATTTCGGATTGGTATAAAACCCATGTCCCAAAAAGTGAGAAAAAAATGCTTTCTTTAGTAACATATGAACATAGTTCTCTATAAGTCTTATATAATCATAAAACTGTTTATTCATGTCTATTCATCAATTTAATGATATAAAAATTTAAGAAATATTTTCTTAATACAATGAGAAGTAATGATTTGATATCACAGTAGTTGATTACGTTAATTTGATTACAGTGAGATTATTATCAAGTTTATATTATTTTTATGCACTTTTTGTTAGACTTGTAATTTTAGTTTGATCTATCATAAATAATCTTGATAGTTAAATAAATATTAAATCAGTCAAACGTACAACACAATACAATGACATATTTATATCATTATTTTAAAAGAAAAATATGTAAGATCAAACTTACATGATAGTAATAAGGCTGCTAAGAGCTAAGCGTTGATATTGGTGTCAATAGTAGTGGCCTTATTACTATCATATAAGTTTGGTTTTACCATCAGAGCTCTAAGACACATGTTTAATTACTTGAGAACTATGACTACGCTACTAAAGCATACGCATTATATGAAAAGTAATACTATTAATAATGGAATAGACCGCCCGTCTGTAACAGTCATAATAATGTTTAGAAAAGATGAGTCGCTTTTTCCATGTCCAAAAAATGCTGTTGAATTATAGTAGTAACAGCTGTAAGAAATGTTTCGCGCTAAACTTTATAGTTTACTTTTCAAGATTTCCGTATTTTACGGATGATTATTTTCTACTTATCTTATGTTTGCCATATTTAATTTTTGACCATAAAACAATACATAGACAACGGCGCAAGCGTAGTTCACATAGAAAAGTTGACATACCGAGAAATATCAACGAAATCTTATCAAATTTTCACATATTCAAATTTAAAATCACCTAGAATCTTAGCTGATAATCTTTTCGAGATTATCAGCTGAAATTGTAGTATGCTATTGTGTATTCGTTGATTGAATCTGCAAGCATATGGACTTAGATAAGTATGCGCCACTCGAGTGATGGTTCTGTCAAAATCCTGCACTTTGAATCGAGTGAAACAATATCATTACACGATTAGTTCACATTGTATTTATTCCGCGTCATGAGAAAAGGAAAAAATGAGTTGGACATTTGTAAATAGAAAGTACAGTAAGCACTGGGCTTGTCAGTCGGCCAATCAAACGAATCGGCGGATTTCATTTCTATTATTTTAAGCAGATCGACAGTCGAGTCGCGCTGAGATTGTTTTTAAAACGCATATTCGAAGGGACGACGATCTATTTAGCCTTTCTACCCGTATTCCGATGTCGTTCTTAACAGACACACGCACCACTAGTCATGCATCGTGCCGATGTACTATATCACATATCGTTTCGTTCGCTTAATCACAGAATTTAAGCGTAGAAAACTACACAAGCGATTGGCAGTAAAAATGAGGAAAACTCTGGCTCACATATACGCGTTAACAATTATCTGATGTTCACGTGTGTGATGTAGTACACGTGTAGTCACGATACACTAAATATTTATTTGCCCAAACGGCGCGTGCGCGCGCGTATATTTCGAGATGTCTCACGATTGAGATCTACACAATAACGACATTAACGCCGTTTTCGAAAACGGGTTTTCGAGATCGGACGCGAATGAACCTCGCGAGTGTAATTTTAATTGCAATATCAAATGGGCGACAAGAAAATGACTCCGACGCGGACGCTTACGTGCTACACTTCCGCGTTGTCCGGTGCGGCATTTCTTAAATTTTTCTCCCCGCGGTCTTTCCTTTCTTCGTCTTCCCGCTGTTACTATGATAACTCCCTTCTCATGTCGAACGAAGGCGAAATGCAAAGCGGAGTCGCGTGAATTCTCATACAAAGAGATTACTTAGTGTCGTTAAATACAGAATCGTATTCCGCGCGTCGTCGTCCGAATTCCCCGTCGGCGACGCTCAAACGCAGCAAACAATCTAATTGTTAAATTGCCCGTTGCAAGTGCGTATTTTTGATGTGCTCTTATTGATTCTTACGAGGCGAGACGCGCCTCCGCCTAGTCGGCTTCTTGATAACAAATGGTTTGCACCTCGCAATCGTGCGCAAGAATAACGCCTAATATAAATTTAGAAAAAAAACGCACCCGTCGATACGTTTCCGCGAGAACACATTTTTTTTTAGCGATCGCGACAACTGACGATGATTCTCGAACGAAACGACAATCGAAAGTCACTGCGTCCGCTCGAGAACGATTCGTTCGCGAAGAAGAAAGAGGGATAACGTACGAGTTTGACATTGTCATCATTATCAATCATAATCATCGTATCATTATTACTACCATTTGAAAGAAAGTTGCCTGGTTTAAATTTAAATTAGCATATATCAATATGCTAATACGGTATACACAACAAAAAGTCCCGTAAATATTTTTCGCGTTAAGAAACTTCTCGTGCTCACTGAGCGAATCAGAAAAAAAAAGAAAACGAAACGTTCTCGAGGAAAGGAAGAAAAGAACGATCGAGTCGAACGGACGGAGGAGAGAAAAAATGAGGAAAAAAAGTTGTATTAGCACAAATAATTACCGGTCGATTTTCAGTCAGTCGCGATATGATAATAGCTATTGTACAGATACCAGACAAAAATGGAGAACAGCGATAAAATAATCGTAAAAATCTGCTCACGTGTTGATTACTGTACATACTTTCATAGTTCGGTTTAGATTATAGTGAGCGGTATACGCCTGTGTAGACTTATCAGAGTAGTTTTTAAGCGAGTGACAGATTTTACTTTATCGGTGCCGATTATACAATAATGGAGTAACGTCTGTTTAACGATAAAAATTAGTATTGTAAGTTTAAATTGGTTTGTAATTTAGATACAAGCTTATAATATTTAGACGGACTTGTTCCTCGTGGCGTGCCGCGAAAATCGTGTGGAAAACGTACAATTAGGGAGACGTATTTTCTGAGAGGGAAACGTTTATATTGGGAAAATTATGTTGGGAGAGAGAACGAATACAAGAAATACACTGACGAAGTGCTGAATTCTTCAATGTAGGAACCGTTTCAATGTAGGTACTGTTTTGTTGTCTAAATAGTCCAAGGCGTTGCAGGATCACCCTGAACGTGTGCAAGGTGTCTGAAGAGTGTCTCGACACGTCCTGAGCACATTCACAGGATGATCTCGCGACATATTGTGCTGTTTAGATAATATATTAAGCGTTATTTTCTTTCCGAAAGAGGCGATCGAAGAAATGTAGCATAATAATGTATATAGTTTTTATCCAAAGTCGATGAGCCACGCCACGAGATCGACGTCCAAATGTATAAAAAAAAGGGCAAATTATATGTATGCATATATATACATATATATGTATGTATAATATATGCATAATATATGTGTGTATATGTATATATACTATAAATTCGTACATTGTTACTTATATATTGCTAATAAATCTTAATTTTACACTTAAGGCTTATACTATAAAGGAAAGAAAAAGCGGGATGGGGTTACTGGTTGCTGACACAATTTTGAGAAAATGTATAAAAAAAATATTTCGTATATAGATTATATAATGCTAGAGAGAGTGAGAGAATGAGAGAGGGGGAGAGACAGAAATTGAACGAAGAGTAATCGATTATGTAGATGTGAACATGATGTTTTAAGGAGGGACCGTACTGGCATTTTCATATACATTGTTACTTGATCTTCTCAGGCCTCTAGATTCCATTCGGGATCGCCAAACTTCCAGCGCACATTGTGCCTTTGTTTATAAGCTCTTAAACTATGTCTGTTGAGCGTGTACGAGGTAGGTTTAACTTAAACTTTCGCCAACGAATTGCAGTAGTTTCAGAATTCATTCAACGACATCGGTACGCAGTAAACGAGCTGTATAGTGATATTTCGGAGAATTTCACCTCCGTATAGGAAACATTTCGGCCAGAAAAGACATGCCGATCTGAAAAAAAATTGTGCGAGTAAACCGTTGTCGATAGGGTCCCTCCTTGAGCATCGCGTGAATGTATGACCTATCGAGAAGCGTCCTTGGCGGCGAAAGCATGTGCAAAATTTGTTAAGCAAGATCTACGAATTGCGCGGTCGCGATTCGATCTCACGATATGAGTCGACATTACTTATATTGCTCATGTAATACGTTTGATCTGTAATGTGTCAATACGTTATTATTGATGTTATTATTTCTCATCGTCTCTCACTATACTCGTTTAGTGGTGCTACGATTTTAGCGCGGTAAAGTCTCAACTCGCACACCACCGCATCACTTTCGCTTCGTCGAATCCGTTCATTTTGCCGCTGCAAAAGCTGTATCGTAATCTGTCGCTCATCGTGATCCGTCGGGGGAAAGCCTCGGTATTTTTCCTCGAGGTAAAGCAAGGTGAAACGAGACGACCGAACGATCTCGACAGTCTTCGTCGAAAATTATGAATTTCCATCGGCGACAGGTCGTCGAAGTCCAACATCTTCCCATTGATCGTTTCATCTTATCTTAGGAAATACCGATATTTCCTCCTTAACACTTTGACTGCCGCACCGAATTCGAGCAACGCCGAATTCTGTGGTTGCCCCACAAGTACACGCTTCCATAAAGCATACGGATCATGTGAAGTACACCATATCAATGGAAAGATGATTACATCAAATTCTGTTATTCAATTCACTTTTACGCACACAATATCTGAGTTCTTATTTAATATATTGCTTCAGTATAAATTGTGAAACCGATATCTTTTCGTTCAAAAGACATTCACTACAAAAAGGTAATCTTAAAATTTAATTAAAGATTGTGTTATGTCTCTTAGATTTTGCTTTTCAAAAGTGTGCAAGAAATAAACTTGAATAATTTTCTTTTCGATACTTTTATATATTATATTAATGACATTTATACCGTTTCCATTCAATGTCCTTATGAGTGTTTAATAAAATGTAATTACAGAGATTTAATAGTCATTCTTAATTAAGTAAAACCGTCGCCCATTGACGAATGAGATCTTTGTGAAAACTGCAGAAAGCCAAATACGAGTGACTGAGCAGTCAGAGTGTTAACGATCGGTCGAAGCGACTCAACTTATCGATCGTTATGGGATAATTTCGCGTAATCGTAATTCACAACGACTCGCCCAATCTGGGAGCTTCGGAGACGACTTGTGGGACGCATCGCAAATACATTCACGGACACAATAGCTCGGAAGCTAGTTCGAAACGCGATATAATTCTTTCGGAGGACGGACATTTGTTTTCGCGTACAATAGTGCCTTCGAGAAGAACAACCTACTTCCGCCGAACCGATTATTAAAAAGAAAAACCAAGAAGAGAGAGAAAAAATAAGAAAGGAAGAAAAGAAGAAAATAATGTTGCATCACCTAGCGCGTCTCCGGAACGAACGAACGAAGAAGAATGGGTTTTTCAGCGAACGTGAATTTAGGAAAGATTACACACATATATACACACACACACATATATATATACATATATATATATATATATATATATATATATATATA